CAAAGCAGTCTGACAAGCTCTATGAAAAACTGGTAAGAGAGAACCTGTATCTGTGGGGGGCCTACTTATTTCAGTATGTAGCTCCTCAGTTATTTACAGTGATGTAGGGACATGATATTCAACGTAAATTATGTTTAGCTCCTGAGCCAAAAGTCAAATCTAGTGTATATGGCATATTTTAACCTTTTAAAAACACATTGCTACTGCTTGGATATGGAATACTTGGTCTAAGAACGTATCTTGTGAATAGTTTAGAGATTTCCAAGCTTTTTGCAATTAGCAGTGAGCAGTAAAATAAGCCCTCAAGACTAGCTTCGGTTTGTTAAAAACTTTATCAGATCAGTGATGCAGCAACTTCAGACTAATATATCTGAAGTTGCACATAATGTTACAAGCCCTTGCTTTAGGGAGGTTTGCTCCTCTTTTCTGAGTGGGGAAACCACTTTTCAGAAATCCATTCCTTCCACTTCGGAGTGAAAAAAATTTTGACTGGATGATTTGATATGGATCTCTGAGATAAAATGGCAAGACCTTAATGAAGAAAACAGGACTTGGAAACCTCGACTGTAGTGCTTGTGTTATCAGAAAGCATGCATTCTTTAAATATCCAAGATTGATATATGATGAGATGAACAAAAGAGAATACTAATGTATGTGTTTATGACTTTGCATAGTTGCATTCTGTGCTACACGATTGAGATTGCTGAATTCCTGTGGCAACTGATTGTGGTAGTCCTAATTTTATCTTTAATCAACTAATGATAGGTGGAATTCTTTTTCAAAAAGACCAAAGGGTAGAAGTGAACGATTTTCTTGTGTTTACTTGTGAAGCAAACACAAATGTACTGCAGTGTTGCATTTTAAAGGTGCATGAGCAGTGACAGCAAAGGCAAGTAGAACTGAGTGTAAAGCTGTTCCTGTAGCTTGATTGCTGAGAGTGATCAAGCACCTTAACAGCCATGGGGGACTCAATACTTAAGAGCTCTTATGATTATTGGGCTGCTTTAGGGCAGGTCTCTGTTAGTAGTTTATCCTGGATGAATTTTTCTGTGCTTGAATTTGCACATATTCCAACAGCTTGAAGATAAAAAATGTGGAGCAACACATGTCACATACTAAGGAGGTGTTTTGATTTGTTTTTGCTAGGCCAGCCAGCTTTGGTGTGATCTGATAAGCTACTTTCTGACCTTTGTCAAATGGAACCAGTTGTTCTGGTGGGGAATTTATCTTACGGGGGTTTCAAGCACAGTGAATGGAACTGAAATTGAAAGAGGGAGAAGAGAGGTTGGACAACAGGTAATGAGGGTATGGACTGGTGTGTTTGCAGTGGAAGGTTTGACTTCTGAAGATGATTTGCAGTGTGAGCTGGTGAGATTTGTGGAGGGAGCCTGTACATGCAGTTGTGTGCTGTATGAACTGGCACATGGTGGGAATTAGTTGAGAGAGAGATGGGAGGGCAGATGACTTGAACAGTGCACACACAACGTTGTGGGGATGTGCTTGCATGGGTGGCAGTTTGGAGGGGGGAAGATGTGACTTGTAAAGATCAGCTGTAGAGTGATGGACAGTTTCCTCATTATTTGACCTTGACATGTCACTGAACCGAAGACTCAGTAATTAAGCTTCTACTCTGTTTTTGTTGTGTCAATTGCTTGGGTGCAGAACTAGTTTTGAATTTACAGTAGTATTTATGTAAACTTTTCAAGGAAGCTTTACAATACGTGTTTGACAAAAATACATGGTATGCAGTGTGGACTGCCATGCAGTTTTAATGTCTCTTTATGTACCCCATTAAATTATATGAGAGGGTTTTTTTTAAATCTCTTAGTATTAAATCTAGTTATCTTATTAAATCTAGTGAAAGCAGTTTCAAACAGCAATTTTATCATAGTCACATGACTGTTAAAGGTGAGCTGGGGATACAGGTGGGAAACTCCAAAAGCTATGATGTTCTGTAAAGAATATCCACTTTGCTACTGAAGGAGATCAAATTTTTGTTTATATCAAGGACAACTGGAGAAAAACAGTTTCTTTGAAGCTTTTAATAGATCACAGAGTAATTCTGAACCATTAGGAAAGAAGTCAGGTGACAGTCTTTGTATTGTGTTGTCTTAAGCACTAGTTAACTACTCAATTTTATGTGTTACATTGAATGTAAACACGTGCACTGTGTTCTCTTTTTAAGCAAAAACTGAAAGCAGACTAGATGTGAAAGTAACAGTTGAAGAACATTGGAACTCTTGGCTCCCTCCTGTTTCTGTGACACAGTTCTTGGCTTCTCCCTCTACCCTCCCGCCTTTGCTGTCTGTGAAGCTTTTAGCTTATATCTTGTGGATGCCAGCAGTTCTCATTAAAATAATGCAAAGACTGTATATCAAGTTAGTTCTAATCTAAATAGTTAATCTGCAAACTGAAGTTGCCTGAATTATCTGCAAATCTTGAAAATGTTCTTAATCTAGTTCTTACAGGACATAAAATGCATTCCACATCTCAACTATGTTCATTTAATCCTGCTGCCAGAGTAGTAATTTGAGCAAATAACTAAAACGTTTGGCTCGTAGACAAATGAGAGCAAGACGTTTAATCAACGAATCATTACACATGAAAAGAAACTTGTTATACACTGAAGTTTTCTCATTTGACAACACTCAGTAATGGAGTGCTGTGACTTTGTCACCTCTTGGTGTTTAGCCTAACAGTATTTAATTAAAACTTTGTAATAAGAAAACTGCTTGAGTAAAGGCTGCAGATCTCCACTTGAGTTTATATGAAGTTACACTAATGTTGACTGCTGCTTTATTGGCTGTGTCTAGTTCATTAAACCTTTTATTTCAGACACCACTGATCTCCTACCTGCATTTTTACTATTTTCCACAGTGATGGAAGTTCAAGTATGAATTATCAGTTGTTTCCTTTGGGCTGTAGTTCAGTAGGACAGTGTTTTTAAAGTCACTGCCAGTGGTGATTTGAAGTTTAAAATACCTCTTTGGAAAGCCAGAGTGCTTTCAGAAATTTGTTTCTTGAACTTTTAGTAGTCGTTTTGCAGGTTATGTTTTCTGAAGAAGCAAAGTGACTTTTCCTATTTTTTTTCTGACAGCTAGAAATGTCAGTCCTTTTTTTAGATGAAAGTTAGCTTTGTTTGCATTTGGAAATACTAAAAAATGGAATTTTACATAGTCTGTCCTTAGTACATGCAATAGCTGTTCTGCCTTTTGGCAGCAGATTACGTTGAATCATTCTTGCTGCTTCACATTTTAGAAGGCGTCTGTATATGAATTCCGTTTGAAGGATGGCATTAACCAAGTGTCACTAATAAGTGTCAAACATTGCTAGGAATGTTAGTCATGAATATGAGCAAAATTTCTGGACTGGGGGAACTCATCAGTGTTTAAAATATACATAAGCAAAATGTAGCATAGCATAACATGTTGCAGTATTTAGGTCATGATGCAACTTCTATAATGTATATGAACACTTTGCCTTCTGATTTTCTCCTTAAAAATAGGAGATGGGATTTAAAAATGAATGTGTGTATGGAAAGTGGAATGCATAGGGCTCAGTTGAATGTTAATGGAATGTCTTTGTTTCCTTGCTTTGTGCTCAATATTGTAACTCTTGCATACAATGTGTGTAAAGTGTTATTCAAAGAAATCAACAATAAAAATAGAAGTCTAATTGGAAGGGTCTATTAATATGGACCTTTTCTGTTGGTTTCTGAGGTCCACTGTTCCACAAGTACATAAAACTGGGAAGAAATAGTAGTGCTGAATCAATTGTGCACTGCAAACTCTTCCTCATGCAATGCATCTCTATTGCAAGTGGAAGAAAAATTCTGGATAGCTACAGTTTGCAAGTTGGGTAACAGATGAAGTACATGGCCTCCACTGCCAGTTCCTAAGGTGTGATACAGGGAGTGCTTCAAAAGGGGTTCTGTCTGTGTGTTTTCGTGGTAGAGGTGGTGTTGGTGTCTCCCATCCTGCCAGAGAGGAGGGACTTACATGGGCCATGCAACTCAAGTCAATGTAAACAGTTCCTGATCTTGGACAGTAACCTGCCCTCTGACTAGGTAGCCACACCTCGGGACAGATCGAGGACTTTACCTTAGCAAGGTGTGATTTCAGTGGGAAAGTTACCTTTTCCCTATATTTTTACCCTTCAGGGGAAAGCATAGATTCCTTTCAGATACCTCAAAATACGTGTGCCTTCTCAGTCAATGATGAACTTTCTCAGCTGTCAAGGAAAGTTTATTAAGGTTTTGTGTGAGGAGGGATAATTTCACAAGTACTCCTGTATGCAGGAGGCCTCTGTGCATGCCATCCTGATGCTCTACTCGCCCTTCTCCTGGTCTGTGGGAGCTTTAGCCAGCATAGCTGGAGGGTGGGCTTTGTAGATGACGTGGAATGGCAGACACCCAACTGTGGGAAAATATTTTTCTGTCTTAATTAGCCCAGGCTGCATGACCTCGTAAGAAATGGCAAAAGGAGCATTTCAGTGGTCATGGGAATTTGGAGGCTTTTTGAGAAATGAGGGATTGGGCAGCCTTTAGAAACTCAACTCCAGCAAATCACGCTAGTGTTGTTTTTCCTACTGAATGAATTGTTTCTTGGCATCTAAATTTATTATCGTTAGATATTTTCCAAATACTTTATCTCCTCTATATGATTGAGATTTTTTAAAAATCTCATGCAGATCAAGTAGTTTGGCTGCTCAATCAGACCTTCTTGATTACAGATTCTTCCATATACAGGTTGTATTTTTTGTTCCTGTCCTTTTTCCCCATCCCCTTCCTGGCCTAAAGCAGATGTCTTGTTGTTTTGCCTTACAGGCTCCAGATAAAAGGAAAGCATTAGAAGAGACCAAAGCCTACACAACTCAGTCTCTAGCCAGTGTTGCTTATCAGATCAATGCACTGGCCAACAATGTATTACAACTGCTGGACATCCAAGCGTCCCAGCTACGGAGGATGGAGTCCTCCATCAACCATATCTCCCAGGTAATCTCTTCTTTTTTTTACTGGAGAACTGACAGTGTTGGAGGAGGCATGATCATGTCTCTTATTGAGTTGGTTAGTTCATGTTGACTTCTTTACTGTGATGGAAAACAGTGATGCTTTTTTCTTTCTAATATTTATGAAACGTGCTTTGTGATTAAGGTCATAATAAGGACCAAAATAAAACAGTTCCTGTATCAAGAATGCTGGAAATATATTTAAAGCAGGAATTAATTATTAAGATTTCAAGATCTGAAGCTGCACTTGAGGGGAGGGGTTGAGAGAAGGATTCTGTTTCTGAAGGAAGTCCAGTTATAAGTGCCATATGGGAGGTGGTATTTTATTTAACACATGCAGTGAGTTAATTTGTTTTCGTAGCCTTGCAGGATATAATTTCATGTGCTGCGTGCAAGGGGAGAGGGGTTCACATGCTGCCACTACCTGCTCAAGCCAAACTCCTTCCCAGCCAAGGCAGTTAAATGAGTGAGCTGAGCTGACTTGTACTGTGACTGCAGTATTATTGGAGTTTCTGCAGCGAGGACATGGAAATAGATGACAGGAAAGAAGAGGCTTATCCCTCTCTGTGGCAGCCTGTATTTCCCTGGCTGAAGCTTCACTGTGGCTGCCTGCTTCTGTGGTGGGGGGGGAAGCATTGCTGCTGCTGCCTGCCTTGTACCTGATCATTGGCCTGATTTTATGCTAACTCAGCCAAAAATGTCTGCTGTGTTTAATCTGGGAGTGGCTTGCTGCATAACCAGATGTGTGCCATGTTAGTGCCAATGAAGGTAGGGACGGGACTCAATTATTTCATCCTTACGTTGCTGTTCTGAAATGAGCTTGAGGGAGTTGTTAACAGCCCAGTATCCACTCTGTGCTCTTACTGAAGTTGAATAAGAATTTCAGTAAGGGCTTTGTCCTATGTCTCTTTGAGATGTTTCATAAACAAATGGCACAGGATGCAACCTAAAATGTTCTTCAGTGCAGCCAGTGAGTTAAAAACATCAGTTGGTCAACCAGGATCCTGTTGGTGGTACACCTTAGAGCAAATATAAGAAAATGCTTCTCAGCGTCTCTGCTGTGTCCCTCCCCAACCCTGCTAGCCTCTCTTACTGTTTTTTTAGAGTTGTGATTTCTAAACATCTTTCTGTGAAATGACAGCACAGTGGTTTTATCAAAAGCATGTCAGCAGGGAGAAGATTCCAGTGCATATGGAAGGGCCCTCCTAATAACAAACCTATCAAAAAGGCACATGAGGTTAACATGTGCTGAGAACTAAACAATGCTAGGAGCATTGTGTGAAGTATTTAAAAAGTACCTGCCGCTGAAACAGGAAAGTAGGAGGAAATGAAATTGCTGTAGATAAGTTTTTTTTGTTCTGTTAAGTATTCAGAGATGCTGGGATTATGACTGCCTCTTAAGAAATTACTGAATAAAGAACTGAATCAACAGACTTTCCCAAGCATTGGATGCCCTCTTATACTGAGCATATATTTTCTTAAGTGTTTTGAGAGCTGCAATGTGTGTGAAGCGATTATTGTTAAATTCACATTGGCCCACTAATATGAGTAACCATGGAAAAAACAAAATGTTTGATGCTAGCATAAAAGGTGTTAACCCACTGTACTATTTGCTGCTTGGATTGAAGGCACTGTGCTGAAAGCTCTTGAGTCACCTGATACATGAACTGTTTGCTAAAGGCTGTGAACAATCAGTGCTTTGTAAAGCTTTTGAGGAGTGTTTAGCAAGGTCACTTGCTTGTAGTTTCTGTCCTGGTTGGTCTTGCCTGAAACTAATCCTTGCTTATAAGTGAACCTCTGCAGACTAATTTTGTAGAATTAAACTGGATACAGATAATGCACACATACCAGCTCAGCTATTTGTTTTGAAGTGTTTCTGCTCAAATGTTTCAACTGCCTTTCTTAAATCAGCTGTACAATTGCTGTGATAGACTGTTTTAAAATGCTTTGGCATCTTCAGAATGTGCTTCCCTGTGCCTGTATCAATTGTATTATTGCCTGTATCAGTCAATATTTTCATGTTACTAAAGCATGGGGATTAATAAGTTCTCAGAATGGCGTTCTTTTCCATGAAAGAATTGATTGCCTAGGAATACAGAGCTGAGGCATTACCAGTCAATTACTAGATTCTGGGTTTTGCAAAACAGAGCAGCTATCTGTGAAATAAGGTACAAATTGATAGTTGTTCTAAGGAAGAAAGTCCTGTGGCTCTTCTGAACACAGACCGTTTCTGTTTCCATACTGGTTTTCAGTTCACTATGCACGTTCTTCAGAATGACATTAAGCTAAATCCCTGGATAGCTAAGCCTGATTAGTAGCCACCCTGTATTTTTCCTAGCTTTGTATCTTCTTCACTGGAAAATGCGCTCATGAAAAGTTAGGTGATGGACTAGTGTTCTATTGTTACTGATGCCTAATTTTACAGATGGAAATTGTGCTTGGTTTTATAGGAAAAAAATATTTGGCTTTGGTTTCTGGTTGAGCACAAACACAGAGGCTTCACATGAGTAATTGCAGTTTGGTGAGGGAACACTTTTCTGAGGTGGAGGCAGTGAACAGCTCTGGGAATGGCTTTCACATAGCACCCAGAGCAAAAACCTGCCTAGCTGCATCTGTATTTTCTGTAGTTACAGTTGTCTTTCAGCTGGAATGCCTGGGTCTGGAGTGACCTGCCATGTGATCATTTACTACACCCAGTACAGGGGGCTGTACACATAGAGCTCAGCTCTTTGGTTTAAATCATTCATATTGACTTGGAGCATTGCCAAGCTGACTTAACCTTTCCAAGCTGCTTTGATATGGCAGAGATTTGGTCACCCTTCTGGAGAAGTTTGGAAACCCTTCTGGTATAAGGGATCCTATTTACCCTGTTAGGCAAGAATTGAGGGGAAAATGATAGTAAGTGTATACTTAGCACCAACACAAACATCAAGATTTTACTGATGGCATTAACTTAGCAAATGTGCCAGACACCATCCTACTAGAAGGGCTGAATGCAGGATCCAGCGAACTACAAACCTGTTAGCCTGACCTCGATGCCAGGGTAGGTCATGAAATGCATCATCTGGAGTGCTATCATGTGACACATGAAACCAGGGAATTTGGCCCAGCCAGGATGGGTTTGTGAAGGCAAGTCCTGCTTGACCAACCTGATCCCCTTCCATGATGAGAAGACCCACGAAGTGGATGAGAGAGAAGCTGTGGATGTGTCTACCTGGACATGAGTAAAACCTTTGACACCATTTCCCACGGCATCTCCTGCAGAAACTGGCTGCTATTGGCTTGGATGGGTGTGCCCTTTGCTGGGTAGAAAACTGTCCGGGGAGTGTTGGTGAGTGGAGCTATGTCCAGTCCTGTTTAATAGCTTTATCAATGATCTGGATGAGGGGATCGAGGGCACCCTCAGTCAGTTTGCAGACACAGTGAGTAGGGTAGAAGTGCTGATGTGCTGGAGAGCAGGAAGGCTCTGAACAGGGATCTGGGTAGACTGGATGGATCCAAAGAGGCTCATGGTCTGAGGTTCAACAAGACAAAGTGCCGGGCCCTGCAGCTGGGCTACAACAACCCCATGCAGCATTGTAGGCTTGGAGATGTTTCTGGGAAGCTGCCCAGCAGGAAAGGGTTTGGGGGTGTTGGTCAACAGAAGGTGAACCTGACCCAGCATGTTCCCAGGTGGTCAAGACTACCAGTGCCATCCTGGCCTGTGTCAGAATAATGTGGCCAGCAGGACTAGGGAAGTGATTGTCCCTCTGCACTCAGCACTGTTTCTTGGTTGTACTCAGCTCTTCCTCTCCTCTTCTTGGATATGAGAGTTGACTTAAAACATGTACTTTAAGATAAATTTTTTGCTGCTTCATTTCTACAAAATTCAAGAGAATGAAGATGGGACAGCCAGATTTCTCAGAGGAGAGAGGTTGACAGGGACATCCTTGTTTACTGTGTCAAAACTGAAAAATGTAACAGATCAGCACTCATGTTTATGTCAGAGCTGCAGCACTGGGTGTAGCAACTATTCCTTTTTTTCCCCCTCTACATAAACAGTTTTTAAATAGCTCAGTATTTAAATCCAAGCATGAAGAAAGCAATAGTCTCCTTTTTAAGAAATGATAGTTTTCACCAGGAAACACTGCCCCCCTTAAACATTCAGTGTGAAGATTTTCTTTTGCATCTGAAGCTCTCCTCTAATGCAAAATAGGGACTATTGCAAAATAATGTGTTCTGAAAACATCACTCTCAGAAAAAAAAAAAGATACATGCACATCTATGGTTACCATTTCAAGTTATAAGCTTTTAGAACTAAAAAAATAATTTAAAAACTCCCCTGAATTAGTTCAGAAGAATCTTTCCTGTTGCCCTCCGTGTCTAATTAATTGCATGTGTAATTCAAGCACCGTATGCAAGCAGAAAGCCAAATGCCTTATGTGGCTACAGCATGGTTGTGTAGGTAAAGTTGGGGCAACAGTGCAGATATGCACATGTCTTCTTGTAGGCTTTCTGAATCCTATAGCTGTAGCCTGTGTTCAATCACACATAGACAATCTCAAACACTAAGGCCTTTCCATTGAGTTAGCTACCAGTCAGGACTGATGTGGATTAGGTTTCAGAGAAGTCCTGCTGGGCATGTTCTGGGGCTGTAAGGGGTGAGCTCCAAAGCAGTAGCAAGTTAGTGTTTGACAGGAAAGAGGAGCAAAAGAGCTGTCACATGCTCAGCCTGTTCTCTGGTGTTTGAAGGTGCAAAAGGCAGTGCAGGTACAGCAGTGACTCTTTATCATGGAGTTTTTGTGGGAAAGAGCTTTCAGAGTGTGTGTGTACTTTGGATTAATGTGACACTTCATTTAGATATTGTGGTATATGATCACAACACAGTTTTATGTCGAGATTTTCGTGGGGCTGGGTCTTCAAAGAGACAAGAGCAGTTGTTGGTTGCTGTAAAGTTGTTTATTGCGTGAATACATCAGTCTCAAAGGCAAAGAGTTCAGAGTATTAAAGTCCATGTTAAAAGCTTTCTAGCATAGAGTTTGAGCAGAAGCAGCAGCAGCTCCCACACCTTTCTTCTTCTTCCTCTCTCACCTCAGTACAGGGGATTTTATTCATAAATGGTCCAATCAGCTAAAACCACAATTCTAAAACATTCTTGCTACACTTATCAGAGCTCAATTCTGAAGTACAAAAGTAGTATCAGTCCTTACACATAATTTACACATATAGTTCTATCCTGTTTTATCTAAAAATACAAGCAATGTTCTGCTATGTTTTCGTTATGTCTGGAGCTAAGTTACTGAACTTTAAACTAGGCTTTAGGGCTTTTTAGTCTCTCAAGGCACTTAAAGTATATTCCTACTTACTTAAAACTAAAACTTAGTCTTCTACTTCATGTCTGTGTGGCTTAATATATTTTCATTTCTCTGAAGGCTTTAATTCAATCCCTGACTTCTTTTTTCTTTTGGAGGGACTCAGAGAGGCTTTTATTTTATACACTCCAACAGTTTAATTCATGTTTGAAAGCCAAGAAGTAGAAAGAGGGTAGAAAATGTGACAAATCTGCTGATGAATGTGAATGGTCATACGTAGAAACAAGCAATTATGTGAAGTACTTTAGTACACTTATGGATGGGAGCAGAAGACCTTTCCAGATCCTCTTAATCGTGACTGTGCTTCTAAAGTACAGCTGTCCAGGTACTTTTACACTTATGGTGGCTCTTTAAAAAGAAGTAAATTCTTAGACCCATCACCTTTGTTTCTGACCTGAAGAACATACAGGCTAGATGGAAGGACTGTTAATTGGAGAGAAGATTAGCCAGAACTAGCAAATGTTTGACTGCTGCTAAGAAGCAGGGCCAGTACTGGAGCCCACAGTGTTCAGAACATTCCTTGGAGACCGTCTAGAACATAAAGCATATCCTCAACAAATCTGGGACTAACTCTGAATTAGGAAAGATGATTCATACGCTGAATGGCAGACCTTCAGTATGCAGGACTCTTATTGAACCAGCAAAAACCTTGGGAAACTGGGTAAGGTGCAAGGCCCTACACCCTAGGGTAGGGTAGGTAGGGTAGGGCCTGAAGTGCATTTGTATGCACTGGGAGGTGACTGTGTGAATAGCAGTGGGTTGGAAAGGAGCTGGTGTGCTGAGCATGAGCCTGTACCACAAGGCTATCTGAGTAAGTGAAGCAGTGTGATGGGGCTGCCTTGGGAAGATTGTAGCTGACAGATGAAAGGCAATGATGTGATTTCATCTGGAGTGGTAGGTCTGAGTGATTTAGGAAAACTGAACACAGCCCAGCAGAGAGGGATGCAGACATGGTCAGGGGCATGGAGCATGCAGCCGACAAGGAGAGTTTGAAGGAGTTGTGTTAGTTTGGTCTGATTAAGAAAAAGCAAAGCAGTGATGTAACAGTAGCCTAGTAGTACTTAAGTCTGTTTCTGTCTCTGCAGTTAGTCTTTTGCTTCATAGTGACAGTGTAATGTTAAAGAGCTAGCCATAAGCTGAAGCTTGGAAGATTAGTACATGGAGTTGGGAAAATAATTTTTATTTTGGAGTGTGATGCAGCAGCACTGGATCTCTGCCATGACTCTTTTCGGTATTACACTGAAGCAGCTGGATGTATCCTAAAAGCTGATTTTATATCCTTGAAAGGCAAATCATAAGTTATAGGAACTAATTGGTGGGGGGATGGGGACATAATTATGAAGTCAGGGAAACTGCCTGACTGCCGTCACGTATCTACAAATCTTGTAAGCTCCACTTCTATCCAAACTTTCCTTTCCACAGATCCAGAAGTGTGTGGAGAGACCAAAAGTATCAGCAGGAACTAGTGCATCATCTAATGTTGTATACATTAGAAAGATAATGTCTTCTGTCTGGTTCTCTTGGACAGCCTGTGCCTGTCAGCAGCCACAAATACTCTAAATATGGCAAGAAACTTGCACCTTTTGTTTAGATTAAGCTTGCCTTGGGTGACGTTCCCTCTCCTAATAAAGTACTGACAGTTATCTCTGTGGCCTTTGCTTCACATCCTGTTCTTCCTGTTCTTTCCCTGAGAGAGGCCAAGGCTCTAAGAAATTGTGCTGTGTTTGCTCTGTTTATCTATCTGCTTATGAAAATTGTTGTCAAATTCGTGCATATCAGCTTCTACATGTTATATATAAATTGCTCAGAAAGTAGTATAATATGTAAGAGTTGCCTTGTCACCCATTCAGCTGAGAAACTCCCTTCATGTCCACAAATTAACGTAGACATGTAGGATGTCTGTAATTCCTGTGCAGTTCAGCTAATGTGATGCAGTCAACAAGAACACCCCAGCACATTACCAACAAACAAATCAAAGCAACCCCCATGATACTTAGTTATGTATGCCTATGAGACAGCAACCACAATGCCAGCCTTTCTGTGATGGGGAAGAGCAGTTGCTTTGAAGAAGAAAGTGAACCAGAAACTTTTGTTTCACACATTTTTTTTGCCCTGTGGAATGCAGGGTTTTGAACATACATTCGGGAAATGGGCAAAGTTGCTTACCTTAATAGCCATTGACTGTCATGAATTCCTTCATATGCTTATCCCCATTCCACTGTCTGCTAGAAGGGCAGTCTCAATGCATAGTTTTCACTGTATTTTAGACCATTAAAACCTTCTTTCTGCTCAATGGTTACTTGGCTGTAAGCTCTCGATACCTCATTAAATACTAAATTGAGGCCTGATGCAGCCTCTTGTTTTCTGTAATTAAAGCAAAAAATCCAGGACTGTGAACATGACCCTGAAAGTCCCCTTGGACAATTTTGTGTAACAAAGGAGTCATCAGTGTTTGTGCAGTCTTCCTAATGAAAACCTCTCATATCTGGAAGATACACCACACAGACGAAATGCGTCACTAACCTGATATAAAGTCACATATTGGACTTTCCAAGGAGTATTTTTTTTTTCTTCAGATGCATCTGATGAGCCTGCTGCCTGAAATTGATTTTCCTTTTATTTCAAGTCTTAGTAAACCAGAAGTCTTCACATATGATTAGTTCCTGATTTACATCAAAATAAAGTTTTATCTCTGTCAGTGTTGCATAAATGCAGTGTATGAGGTGATAAGAACATTGTGCCTAGTAAAACAGCAGGTAGTCAGCTACCAAAGTATTCAGTCAGTTGCTGTACCCATGCCATTCAGTGCAGCTATTTGGGATGTTGGTTTTTGTGGCAGCTGGGTAGTGGTGTGCTTGGGCTGACTCTTTTTGGGGAAACAGAGGAGAAAAATGAGTACAAGAAGCTTACTGTGGAGCAGATTGAGTAACAGCATTGATTGCAGAGCATCACTGAAGCTGCCACTCAAGCACAAGAACATATCCTGCTGGGTGCTTGTGGCTGGACTTGTGCCATTCAGATAGGAATTGCTTGGTGCTTTCTGCTGGCTGATTTTACTGGAGCCACATAAGTGCTTAGTTAACTTTGATCCACAGGTGGAAAACCAAGAAATTATTCACATGAGTGTTTACAAGCCAGTAATAACACTGCCACTTTTTATGCTGCTACTGGTTTGACTTTATTCTCTTTATTAGCAGCCTTTTGGGACCCATTGATATCTGTTATGCATGTCTTGTAAAAGCCCCCTTACAGGTCATATATCTACAGAGAACACATTATTAGTTCATGGGAGGTCTATGAATGACTTGGTAGCTGTTCTTCTAAAGCTGGGGACTTCTGTTGTTTTTCTGTAACTTTGAAAAAGTGTGTGCGAAGTGTGAAAATCTGTCCAACTATGTTAATCTTACTTAGTACTTGTTATGTGGCTCGTGAGCCCCAGTGGGAGTTCCTTTCCTTCCCCAGCATCATCTCTGCACCACTGGGGCAGTCACAGACCACAAAGCAAGTTTCCCTTTACTGTTCTGCAAAAAAATGTGAAATTCTGTTGGGTGATATAATTTATGGCTAAAAACCTAAACACCTTACCCTGAACATTGTTTATTTGAGACAGTTTATTTTGTTGGAGAATACTGTTGATTCTTCCCTGACCCTGCTGCTAGTGCCATCACAGAGAGGGCATTGTGGTGGTTAGGAAATAAAATTTTAAATTTGTTTGTTTAAAAGCTGTACTGTATATAGGGTTTTTATTTTTTGACAAAACTCAGAATGTGTTTTGAATGAGTTCATTTAAAGTGACAACTAGCTAAGGCCATCATTTGCTGTATCAGTCATTCCTGTTTGGAATGTTGACTATGCATGTAGAAGTAACTAGCATAAAAAGTATGTGTGCCTTTTTCTCAATTCCAAAAAATAGATTACTAAAGCTGTCATTTTCCCCTCAAATATTACATTCTGGTTCCAACAAATAGTTATTTAATAATTTTGGCTAGTATTGTACCTAATTCCATTTTATGGGCATAAAAATATAAGTAATATGTGACCACAGAATCACAGGTTTTATGTGTTGTTTGCTTCCTCTTCAAGAATCTGCTGAGTAGCTATGCCTTCTTAATGAATGTATCCTCGTATGAGTGCTAATGTTTAATGCAGCTTCACCTGTTCATGCCTAAAAGCATTTGCTTCTTCCACTCACGTATTGTGCTAGGATGATTATTTACCATGGATCCAGTGGTACAGTTCAGTGTGGTCTCACACCAGGTCTAAAGCATGGCTTGCTATTTCTTTAACTGGCTTCTCTGTCCTTGCTTGCAAGAGAGAAATAATAATTAACCTGATCTTGTCATGCTATCTCAAATTCCTCTGTGTGGCAAGACCAGGAGCAACAAGGGTATGATTAAAAGCTATTAGGCTTCTAAATATAAACAACAAGTAGGATGGGGACCTTAGAGTTGAGAGGGGTCATGATGGAAATAATTAAACATATCAGTGCTTCAGGAAAAGTCAGTTGGGCCATCATTTAAAAATATAAAAACA